TGCATAATCACATCATTGATCATTTAAGGGTTGAATTCCAAAGTAAATTCTATAAAGGACTTGGTTATGCGTTTGTACCGTTTTCATTCGAGAAAATTCTCGAAGAGGCGCGTGCTGCTGAGGAGAACCTTTGAAGATTTATTCTTTGCTTTATTCTTCTTCATCATAGTCAGTACTCCTCGTTCTGTTCTTACGTTTGACTGTTACTGTAACGTTGCTTTGGTTTTTTTATTTATTTTCTAGTGTAATATTAATGATTCTTTGTATCAGTCCATTTCAACTTGTATTGACTTTTTTAATCTCTTCGCAGTTGATTTCTTTCCGTTTTCGTATCTGTCAAGTATTGAAGCAACCAGTTCAGTTGCTATTAATAGTCTTCGGATTTCCTCTCGATGATCTGCTTGTTCTGTCATTGCCTTTTATGTCTCTTTTTGGTTCATTTACTTCTTTATTTCGAATATTTATTGGGAATACTCATCATAGGAAAAGAAACCAAATGCTGAGTAATGATTATTACCGATCTGCAAAGTGATAATAGTTTCAGACCTGAAGTTATTTCACTTGAGCTGTGAGTCAAATCATTTCAGTTGTGTCATTTTACTTAGCTGAACATTCACGTCTCTAGCTGAGACGTCCGAGAAAGTGAACATTTTGTGAAATTTTGATGATGTCATGTGAACAGATGGTTAGGAATGAACGCGCTGTATTTTTTATAAGCATATGGTATCGCGAGGCGAACCGAGAGTAAGATAACTCTAGCAGAAAGTTTTCTGAAAGAGTGATTCCATACCGAAGTGTCAACGGGGTTGTTGATTTTGCTTTATATAGATTCTTCCAGATATTTTCATTGGACATTGTTAAATTTCTTGAATTTACAATATCGTAAGTTCTTATTCTAGAGTTTTGCCGTTCAAGACGAGATTTGTTTTCAGTTATTTATATTTTCGCAATTTAATCATGTATTTTTTGAGCAACAGATGCTTGATAATCAGCCATTGTATTATTGACGGTTTTTGATGNATTTAATCATGTATTTTTTGAGCAACAGATGCTTGATAATCAGCCATTGTATTATTGACGGTTTTTGATGCGTGAAATGTATTTGTTTGCTAATCTCATATCCTAATTGGTGTCATTATTTGTGTTGTAAACGTTATCATTATTTTTGTTGTCGTTGTTATTGTGTTTGTGAAGTGGTTGTGTATGGATTGTTCACATAAAGAATTTTATTTGGAGAGACGAAATCGCAGTCTATCCTTCATGCCCGTTGATTCCGTGTCTCATTACGACAAACTCTGAATGGTCTTGAAGCGAGTTGTTTGGGAATGGACAAAAAAGCACTATTATTCAAGATCAGATTAGCGACTATTTGCGAAAGGGTTATCAGTGATCTGAATTTGTCTGACAAAGGAATGACGACTATCACTGAATACAAAGTGCAGATAATGGGTCAGTCTAGTTTATGTGATTCTGTGATATTTCCGCAGATTCGATCGCAACAGAATTGTCGAAATTCGAGTTGTATTTGGTTGTATTCGCAAAGATATCGGCCAATGAATGTTTCAGACTGTGCGAAATCGTTTCGTTTCATCTGCTCGTTTAACGTTAATCTTGTTTTTTGTCGTTTTGTGGCTGTATTTTGTTGTGTCAAACTTTAATTTATTACAACTGAATAAATATTCGTTCGTGAATAAATGGATAAAAGTGTTCATTTGTTTGTTGTTTTCACTCTCGCTAAATCTACAGCAATTGAACTTATCGGTTCATTATTTCAGCGTTACTCTTCAAGTCGACTTATTTCAATCATTACTATTAGTCGTGTTGTCTATATTGCGAGTTCCGGTATGATTTCGTAAATTACTTTCTCCGAGTTGGTCGTCATTTATCTGTATTTCGGTCGTCATTTACGGCATTTGACAGATTCGTTAATTTTAAGGTTCGGAGTGATATCAGCCCAATTGCTAATTTAAAAATGTCTCGTATTTGGACTGATCGTCTTCAGAAAATGCGTAAGCCAGCAACGAAATCAAATGGCGTTCATAATTTATTGAGTTCGGATAATTTTGAGGTATCATTATGATATTGAATCATTATTGCTATTATTAAATTGATATGGATAAATGCCTAAATACAAAAGTGTGTTCACGATGAATGTGGTTAAAATAGATGCATCAGAAAAGATCTTATACTCTCGAACGATGTGCGTGTTTATTAATTGAAGATCAGTACAAAATATTTTGATGTAAAGTCGGTTGGATTTTGTTGGGATCGTTATTGATTCATGTGGAGACGTTGTGGTTATGGTGTGACTGGAAGTCTTTGAGTTGCGTTTTGATTCATATTTTA